TAGACTGCACCTTCGGAATACGGGTCGAGCCACCAACCAGCACCACGTCGTGCACGCTCTTCTTGTCGATGCCAGAGTCCTTCAGGCACTTCTCCACTGGACCCATGGAGTTGCGGAAGTAGTCCATGCATAACTCCTCGAAACGGGCGCGGGACAGGGAGCAGGAGTAGTCAATACCCTCGAACAGAGAGTCGATCTCGATGGTGGCCTGCGTGGAGGACGACAGCGTCCGCTTGGCTCGCTCGCACTGCGTTCGCAAGCGTCGGATGGCGCGCTGGTTGCCGGCCATGTCCTTGCCGCGGTTCTTTCGCCTCATCTTACAGCAACTGATCAAACAAATGGAAACCTGCCCCGCACCGAATTTGTCGGAGTCGCTACCTGCACCTCTTCAACACACAAATTAAAAGCCTCCATGTTGAAGGGCAGGTCGCTTGAAGTCTTGGATGCAGAAGTCCACCACGCGGTTGTCGAAGTCCTCGCCACCCAGGTGGGTGTCGCCCGCTGTGGCCTCTGCAAGAGCAAACCATGTCGACGCTGCACATACAGTGCCGCACTGCGGCTTGCAGATCCCCAAGCATCCCTTCTTGAAATTCTGAGAGGGCTCGGAATGCTTACAAGAACTTACAAGTACCCTTACCCTGCCCAAGACTCCCATCCTAGCCAAAGCCTACCGGATCCTACCGGCCTTCACCTCGAAGATACCATCCTCGATGGTCAGGAGGGAGACATCGAAAGTGCCTCCTCCCATGTCCTCCAGCCGTGTGGGTGAGCAAGAAGTCATGGCTTACGGCTTTTAGGACCTACAGTTTTGGATTAACGCATCGAAGCAAAGCCCATGTACGGAGCAAGTACTTATTGGGACAAAAATCACATGCTGGAAGCTCTGCTGATTCTACTGCCAAGCGTCGTAGATGAGGACGTTGCGCTCTCCGGATCCCTTCCTTAGTCGATGGCTTTATCAACTTCAAAGCAGAATGGGCGCCTGAGACTCAAAGTGACGGAGCATGCTGGACTACACCTCCGCACAATCTCGCACAGTTC